GCATGAGGGTTAGTCCTGATGCTCTGGAGTCTCAGACCTGCAGAGACTGTAAGTACAGAGTCTAATATTATTGCATTGACTTAGCAGTTGAATTTCTCATGACAAGTTCAGACCTTTCATCCCAACTGGGTATTTGCTCTTTTTGGGGCAGTGGGGGCCAACTTTTCTGGCAAGTGTACCACAAGGTAAGCTCTGTACCCATCTCAAGTGTCATTCTGATCTCTTTATCCTGCCCAATCTTTTGCTCTGCTTTCTGCTCCTTGACCTAACTACTGCTGTGTAGGGCTGTGTGAAATGAGCCCTGTTCGATTCAGATTCGACCTGAATTGGGGACAATGATTTGATCCATTGATTCGGATCACTGTCCCTGATTCAATTTGGCCAAATCCAAATCTGAAGATTCGATGCTGATTCAGTAAATCAGCGATTCGGACATGGACATCTTTAAAAAAATTTTCTACATACCTTGAGGCAGCAGGAGTGGCTTGTGATTGCTCCAATGCTGGGGTGCATGGAGTATTCAACAAGCATGCGGGGGGCTCTCCAGTGTGCTTGGAAGTGGACCGGAAGTACTTCTGGTCCACTTCTGGATCTGCTGGGGAGCATGCTGAAGGGTCACCCTGTGCCCCCCCAGCTTGGTGATCAGCCATGGTGGGACCCTGGGTGCCCCCTCCAACCCAGGAGGTACCAGTCGCCAAGACGGGGGGTCCCTGCACGCTCCGTGGTGGACAAGGAAGTGGACTGGAAGTGCTTCTGGTCTACCTCTGGGTCTGCTGCCGAACGCACTGGGGAGCCCCTTGTGCTTCTGTGGAATGCTTCATTCACCCCACCATCACAGCATTCAGAGCCCCTGCTACCTAGAGTTATGTAGAAAAAACAGTTAAAGCTGTATCTACATCCAAATTGCTGAATCTGTCTGAATTGCTCCAAATTGATTTGGAGGGTTTTGAATTGATTCAGAGAGATTAAAGCAGGGGTGGGCAAAATGTGGCGTGCGGGCCAAATGGGGCCTGCCAGGCCATTCTATCTGGCCCATGGAGCTCCTAAAAAATTTGGAAAATTAATATTTATCTGCCCCGGCTGCCTGTCATGTGGCCCTTGATGGCTTGCCAAAACTCAGTAAGTGGCCCTCCACCCGAAATAATTGCCTGCCCCTGGATTAAAGGGTCCTCTGATTTGATAGGGATTTGGAGATTCGGTCACCGAATCGGGCTGAATCTCTGCCGAATTGAATCGGGGACTGAAGCTTTGCACAGCCCTACTGCTGTGTTTCCCTGCTCCCTCCCTGCTGTGCTGTGTGCCACACAGAGGCTGCCCATGCAGTTTTTGGCACATGTGCTGTAGGTTGTCTGTGTCTGCTTTAGGGAATAGATGCTTGTTGCTTTCTTATTGTGCAGGAATTTTTCTCCAGAATATTTCTTTTAATAATTATAAGCACTCTACAAAACCTTTTATTTACAATACCAAATGGGAAAAAAAAATCATTGGTCTGGTCACAGTATTCCACTTATCCTTTTCTAGAAGAATTATGGTTATTTTTTTATTATATTCTGTCATTTAAAGTTCTCTGGACTCCATAAAAGTTGGTTTAGAAATTGTTTATTAATTAGTCACAAATTAAAAAAATGTACAATATTATTGCACTTTACAATCTCCAGGTGTTTAAAGATTTAAAGTGTGGGTTTCAGATTTAGAGAACCTGATGCTTACCTCATGATACCTTAATGCAGTTAGTGAGACTATTGGGACTGTACTTGAACTATTTGTCTCATGAGTATTGGATCATTTTTCCATATAAACCTTTGGTGGCCATTATTTTTCCTTGGCAAGAGGGAGGAATTCAAGCTTTAATAGTAAGTTCATCATATGCTTATTTTCATGTGATAAGGTTTCTTGTGGGATTCATCTGAGATTCCTTTCTAAGGTTTCTGAATATATTCAGCTTTCTGTAATTTCAGAATCGCTAACATGAGGTTTGGGGGGAAAAGTGTATATTTTAGACGTCCTTAGTATGCTATCTTTTTCATTTAAGTTGAATCAAGGTCTCTTCTACATAGCCAACAGAGTAAAAAGGTAAAACAGTTTTTACCTAGATGCTGTCCAGATGGATTACTGAATGTAACAGTAGATAAGCCTGATTTATCTGAGACAAAAGTTCACTCTACCAAAGTTCAGACTGTATACATGGTTTCCTTTAGTGATGTACCCATTTCTGAAATTTGCAGAGCTGCCACACGGAGTACTACTCATACCCTCACAAAACATTGTGCTGTGCCTCTGGAGCTATGTTCCCTTAAGCAAAGTGGATCTTCAATCCTTGTTTGGCTAAAAAAAGAAAAGAAAAATTAAATCAAAATTATCTACCTCCTAGCATGATGTTACTACTTTGGAATGACTAAAAGTGGAATACACGTGGACAGGCCCAAAAATAATGTTATGCTTAATTTGTACTAACTGGTGTTCTTTGAGATCTGTTGTTCATATGTATACTATAGTCCAGGGGTAGGCAACCCCTGGAAGCTGTGCCAGTGTGTGGCACATGAAGGCATTTTACTTTGCATGCACACCTTGGGGCAGACAGTGGGGAGAGGGCTGGTGGTGCACTGCCACAACAAGGATCCAGCCTCTCGTAGCTCCCCCGCCATCCACCCTGGCAAGCCATCATTTTACAAGTTGAGGTTGCAAGCATTTTTGGCACTCTGCTTTATAGCAGGGGTGGGGAAAATATGGCCCGTTGGCTGGATCTAGCCCACCAACGGATTTTGTCTGTCCTGCAGCAGGTGCCGCAGCTTTGTCTGGCCCAGGTGCAGGGGTCATTCTGGGCTGTGGCATGTGCGGCTGATCCGACTTTCCTCAGGTGCACAGTGGGGCTGGGGTGGTGCAGTGGCTAGACTTGCTTCCTGGCAGCTCTGGCAATGGTGGCTCCTTCCAGCTCCTCCTGCCTGGGCACCTCAGCCTGTCTGCCCTGCATTGGCTTCTGGGGGCACCAGATAGAGTGGTTGGGTGAGGTCTCCATGGACACCAGGCTGGGACCTGTGCAAATGGGGCACGTGGATGGGATGGAGCCACAGCACTGCCATGCACCCATCCCTTCCCACCTGTGGCCCTATCCCATCTCTGGCTGTGCATCCTGCTGTCCAAGGCTGGTCTCCTTAGAGCCCCCAGGATCGGTTGGCGGTGACAGCACAGAGCTGGGGCCTGGGGCAGAGCTGTGATCTACTCCCCATGTACCCCTGGATGCAGAACTGGTACCCGTTGCAGGGACATGTGGGGAGAGCAGATTACAGCTCTGCCACAGGCCCCCAGGAGCCCCATTCTGTCCCAGCCCTGGCCACCCACCCACCCCGCTCATGAATGCTGCTGCTTAACCTGCCCATGGTCCCACCCCATCTGCCTGACCACTTAAGGAGATTTGGTGAGCTGTTGTGGAGGGCTGAGGGGGGAGGATGCTTACCCAGCCTGGTGGGGTGGTGCTGACCCAGTCTGTGATAGCTCACCAAAACTCCGTAAGTGACTCTTGGGCCCAAATAATTGCCCACTTGTAGTCTATAGTCATGAGGGATTCTGGTTGGTGAAAGAACAAAAAGGTGGTTGACCCTGGTCTGTTCTTTAATTTCTTAACACGCATTTAACATTAATACTCTTAAAAACGGTAGTAGTATGCTAAATACAATAGTTTCACCTCATCAACCAAGGGCCAAAAAGCACCTCATCTCTGTATATCACCTTCAAGAAAAAGCAACAAGATAGGGGAATACATTGTGGCTTGTTTAAATATTTCTATATTTCTTTTTTTAAGTTAGAACTAAATATTTAATCCCCCTCTAAACATTACTCAGAAATGAGTGAAGATTACAACACTTCTTTTTTCTTCTTTTTATGAATCATTTTTTCCAATTTGTCTATGCTCAATAGAATAAAAGGAGAAATGCAGATGTAAAAGTTGTAAAACATTCTAATATTATAAAAGCCTTAATCTGTCTGTCTGTCTGTCTATAATGCTTTATTCATGTTCTGATTGATTCGCTGACGAGCAGCCAATCAGAGTGCGAGGAAGAAGCATTCAGACAGGAGGTGGCGGAGCGCTGCCAAGATGGGGGGGACACAAGGGACAGTGGGGGTGGGGGTGGAAGGCCAGTGCAGCTGGCTTTGCCTGCTCTGCTCTGCTCCCTGGAGGCAGCGGCAGTGCTAGCCTCGTCCCCCCTGCCCTGCTTCATGCGGGTTGCGATGATGGGGTGGGGGGGCGAGGCCACTCGTGCTAGCCTTGGCCCGCTTGTCCCCTCTTCCATTATCACTGCCTGCAGGGCCAATGTGGTGGTGGTTGGGGGAGGAGCTGGCATGCTGTGGTGGCAGTG